ATGCATAGATACATATATTTATATATAATTTTACAGAGAAGTAAAAAATGAGGTATGTTGGATTTGACTATAAAACAAATTGTGATTTTATTGTGTTTTATAAAATTTTGCGTTTGCTTTGGTTATTTAAGATGCACAATTTTAGGTCATACTATGTAAATAGAGGCATAATTTGGTAGGGGAAATCACTGATGTTTCAGAATAACAGGGAGATGATGGAATTAGTGATGCTCTTAAGATATGAGGGATGTGGAGCTGAAGAGATGGCTCAGCAGTTAAGAACACTGGTTGTTCTTGCAGAAGAACCAGGTTTGAATCCGAGCACCCACATGACAGCTAATAACTGTCCATAATTCCAGTTCCAAGGGATCCGACAGCCTCTTCTGTCTTCCGAGGGCACTGCACAACATGGTGCACTTACCTACAATGCAGGCAATACATACATACACGTAAAATAAAAAATAACTAAATAAAATATTTTTGTTAAAGTTATGAGGGATGTGGCCTAGGCTGATCCAAAAGCCTTGAGATGAGAGTTTTCAAAATATTTTCAATTCATAGATGGTTAAATACAGTTTCAGAACTTATGGATATGGATGGCACACTGTATGCACCCATACCTATTCAATGATGTTAGTATACCATTAACTGTACAATCAAGTTTTATTGAAATAAATAATTGTGGAGACTTTATGTAAAATTAATACCTAATTTTACACAATAAATCTAAGAATATTATGGAATACATAGTACGTTTTCTAAGAGTTCGTTCTTGTAAAATCTTTCATTTAAACTTTTTTTCTTTAATAAAGTTGCTTATAATGCAATACATTAAGTCTTCAGTAAAATCGTAAAGTACAAAAGTAACCCAAAACCAAATCTCTCCACGGAATGCCCTAAAAGATATGATCCTGAAGAATAGGTTATGAATGATATGTAGATGGAGTGCAGTAATCAGAGAAAGCACGTTACAGTATAAGAAATGGAATATTGATGGCTGGGGCTGGATAAGCCTTTAAAATCCCAAATTAATGGAGTATAATTGATTGATTTTTCTTCAAATCAAGCTTAGTTTTTGACATTGTTATTAGTTTCTACAAACTCACTCAAACATAGCTGATTTTGGATATCAAATATCTACTAAATAGTAATTAGGTAACTACTAGAAACTGTAAGCTGTATTATCTAATACAGTGGCATGATAAAATTAGATCTTACCTCCTTGATTCCAAGGCTACAACTATTTATATTGACAATTTTCCAAGTTAGCATTCTTTACAAAATGTAATTGTCCTAGACAGAAATTTCATGTCTCTCTAATGTTTTCTTGAAATGTGTAAAATATGAAGATTTGGCCTAAGCTTTAGTCACATCACAGACACCATTGCATTGTTTATGATGGCTGTTATATGGAGATTCTTCTTCTCTCCAGATATGGCAATGTGGAGGCTCTTTGGAGATTGTGACTTGCTCTCACGTTGGCCATGTCTTTCGGAAGGCAACTCCATACACCTTCCCTGGTGGCACTGGTCACGTCATTAACAAGAACAACAGGAGACTGGCAGAAGTCTGGATGGACGAATTCAAAGATTTCTTCTATATTATATCCCCAGGTATGCAATTCTGACTTTTTCTTCCCCCTAGAAGTAAACAAAATTTTAAGGATGTTGAATTCCTGTTTCATTATCTCTACTGTTCCAAGCGTTTAAATAAAATGTTATTCCTTACCAGGATATTACAGATAATTGTGTATGAGAAAGTCGCATTATATAGCAATCTTCATCTAAAATGCCATTTTAAAATTTTACCCTCATCTCCCTTTCTTTTCTCTTCACCCAAATTGATAAAGTAGTATAGAGGTTTAAACTGAACATTTAATACCAGGAAAAAATTGAAAATGTCTTTAAATAAATGTTTTGTTTTGGATTATGATTTTAAATGTCATACTAAACAGTTAATAAATTTAAGTGAAGAAACAATATGGAACTGTACCACAGCCTCAGCCTGGAGTTGCACATATCCAAGTATGTAGAAACAAAAGCAGATGAGGGCTGTAATTGAGTTTTATTTATATTTTTCAATATTTTATAAATTTTATTAACTTAACAATATTACCTATTTGAAAAAAATTTAAAGAAAAACATGAGATATTGTGAGATAATCCAATTCCTGAATGGTAGGACTTGGGGTATTATTCATGACTTATGATTTTCCAGATTTGATACAAAAGTCATATTACTTACTTCCAGGAAAAGAAAAAATAGTGAAAGATTGAACGATAAATAAAATAAGAGAAAATTGAGCAGGAGGATGGTGAGCTCAAGGCTAGCTGGGCTCATAAATAAATAAACAGTAATTACATGAGAAATATAAAAGTTTCCCTTCTAAATGCCAACATGTAGACATTAAGATCAAAGCAAAATTTAAAAGGAATCTGATTATATTGAGAAAATTAATTGAAGTGTTCTAGTTGTGATGCTTTCTATGTGAGTTTCATGGTATTCGTTGCTATTATTACATAACCTATAAGAGGAACAAAAACAAATGCCTACTTCTTTGCTGTAAGGGTATGTAGCTTAGAAAAGGCAGTTTGTATTCTCAGTAACATGCTGTGATTTATGAAGGAATATATAATGCAGTTAAGTTCTACTATAATAAACGAGTATGTAGAAAAGGCAGTACTTCCCTTCTTATTAAGATCCAGAATTCAGAAAGAAAAGTTCTTCATACTTTTTCTCAAGCCCCATTCTATGAAGGAAGCTATTGCAAAGAACAGTACTTCATGAACAGAAGTATTCCCTTTCACAGTAGAAACTCAGTCCAGATGTTCACAGAGTTCAACAGAACATGTAAAATTTCTAAGAAAGCAGTGACATTTATATAACCTTTCCATTTGATGATATTTCTTGAATGTAAATCAGTACTTCCAGGAATATATGCTCAAATATGAATACAGGAGTAATGGGGGGAAAATGCATTACAGGGGAGCCAGCTTGCATTAGGACTGGGAGTGATTGAGACTCATCACAACTCTGTGCAATGTATTAATTTGCCATGAGAAGTATTTGTGGAAGGTGATGTTAGAGTAGGCCCAGGGAACTTTCCTCTCCATCTCTGAAGGTTTACTGACTGGAGTGGACTGACAAAGAGAGATTAGATAGAAAATAAAGCATATAAATTTATTAATGTGCAAATGGAGAAAAGTCACAGGACCTTGAATCGCCAGTAGGCCCAAGTAGTTTAGAAACCTGAGTAATCATTTTTCTATGTGAGATACGGAAAGTGGAGCTTGGGTTGGGGGGTCAATAAATGGTTTTTAGAGGAGTTCAATGGACCTGGAGAATAGATAATGACCTAGGAAAATACCCATTTGACCCACAGAATAAGGTGCATTAATTGTTAACTTCTTGTAAGACTGAAAGAGATGACAGTGGTGAATGGCATACTTGCTGTTGTCACCATGAGTGTTTCTTTCCGGGATATTAGTTTATTTATTGAAGGTTCAAGGAAAGAATCTGAGGCACTTGTTTCTTCTGTGCCAGGTTGTGACCTTTGAGGTCCTGCAGATAGGGGAATGTTGGAAAAAGCTTGTCCCTGGGAGGGAGCAGGAAAGGACAGCTAGGAGACAGTTTAGACAAACCTTGATTCTGAGTCTATTTTAAGGCCTTTTGATTTCCACTACGTCAAATTCCTTGTCATGAAAAAAATGCATTATTTGTAGGACATTGTTCTCTACAAAATTTAAGTGAGTGAAAAGGGTATATAAATGGCAGAAAGTTTCTCAAACTACACTGAAATGATCAGAGTTTAAAAGGAAATCTCCATCTGAACTGAGGAATTCAGGGTACACTGAAGGTTTGTGTAAGCCACAATATGCACATTTTACATCACAATCATTATTACTTGGAAAGTTTTGTTCCTGTTATACAGGTTCTTTCAGTCCAGAAGTGTACCTTGGAAAGCAGAAAAAGGAGAATCCAGGAATGTACTGAAAATACCCAAGACCTTCACAAGTGCCTTTTATACAGGGGCATTTTCTCTACATTGCTGAAATGGGGGATCTGCCTCCTATGGGCTGAGCACAGGGAGAAACTGAAAACATGAAGCAATAGTCTGCTTCTCAATCAAAAAGGAAGAACAAAGTTAGGTCATAAATGATCTAGATGACTACAAACAAACCTACGTCTAGGCATGCTGTAGATCACCCCAAATCAGATAGTGGCTATATACAAGCCAGGATCAGTCACGTTATGATTTTAAAAAATTAGCCATTACTTAATTAAGCTATAGATTCTTATGGATTCTACAACTCAAAAGTAAAAACATCATGAAATCCTTTATTTTCTTGAACGAGTCTCTAACTTTGAAATGATCATTGATTCCTGCAAATATTCTCTATAAAACATTACCTTCCCACATTAGTGGTTGTCCAGCAGCTCTCTGTTTCTTGGCTATTAGAGTATTCTCCTTCTCTGAAAGTATTTTCCTTCAAGTTTGATACTGTGATGGTTAGTTTTGAACTGTCATCTGGATATAACCTAGAATCACCTGGGAAGGATGTGCTAATTGTAGAATTGTCTAGATCAGGTTGGCCTGTGGGCATGTCCCTCGGGGATTAGCTCCATTCCACTGTGGGCAGCACCATTCCCAAGGCAGAGGATCCTGAGCTGTATAAGCGGGGCGAAGGCAACCAGGCAAGCAGGCCTTCTCTGTGCTCTTGACTGTGGATATGATATGACCAGCTGACTTATCTTCTCTGACATACTGTAACCTGGAATGATGAGGCAAATAAACCCTTTTCTTTCCAAAGTTGTTTTGTCAGAGTATTTTGTCACAGCAACAGAAACCAATATAGATACCATGGACAACACATTGTTAACACTTAAAATATTGTTTTGGCTTATATTATTTATCTAAAGTCATTCAGAAATTCATATTCCTAATGTCCAGCAAATTTCCTATCACTCTGTAGAGCTCAAAAAATAGTTGTTGAATCATTAGAACAAGTAAGAAATGAATAAACATATTTTTATGGGAGCCATTTTATTTTTCCTTTCTGTTGATTTATCCATAGCTACAGCGTTTACTTCAGAGAATATCTTCATAAAAATATGCCCAATGAGAAAGACGCCTCTGTCCCTTTTCTCTGATCCAGCACCTGGTTACACACACATAGAGAGAAGAAAAAGGAGAAGAACATTCCACGGGCCTATCTGTGTGCCTCAGGCTTTATTATTTTGAAATAACGAACAATGTTATACAATCCTACTCTCCATGACTAGGATTTAAGACAGGATTAAAGCAGATATGAAAACTGTCTAACAGAGCAGGATAAACAAATTTCATGAATATATAAACCAAGGTTAATTTTACACCTGATGATTTTTATTTTTGTTAAAAGTCCTAATTCAGTTAGGGTTCGTTCAATAGAGATCTATGAATGGCCATATATGCAAATTACATTATCTGATCTTTTTCATATTTATTGTGTGTCCTCATTGTCTTGTCCTTTACTCATTAGCCATTAGGCTATTTTGCAAGGAATGGCATTACTAATTTTTGTCTCCTAAATCTAAACAGTGTATAAATGAGGAGTAGCATCATTTTAAAATAGTGTTGAAGAATGGATTTTTAACATTTGTTTAGTGTGCTTTCTGGCTGTTTATTTAAGAATGCCAGTACTCTAGCATCATGGATGTTAAAGCCCATAGGCCCTTAAGACCTGAGGCAGTTTTTATTAGTAATTGGGCTGTTTCAGCTGGAGCCAATCTGATTGTTCCAGCAAATCCTTTCACATAGAGTGATGTAAGCAGAAATCACTCTTTGTAAACCACCCCATTATAAATGGCACATATTTTTCTTGTTGGTCACAAGTGTAAAGATTAAGAACTTGAAAAACTAGTGTTAGTCATAATTCCAGATAATGGAAATGGTTGTTGTATAAATATTGATTTTCTTTCTTTGGGGAGGTGGATTTCTAGCTGGACATCAATAGGAATGGTGATTAGAGGTAGCTGTCCTGATACCACCCCTGGGTTCTTCTCCCTTTTCTTAATGATAGTTTGTGATCTTGCTTCAGGCAGAAGCAAATGGAAAGTGGAGTGTAAGGCACTCTGACGTGCACCTCCAAAAGGGCTTGTATGCACCCTGGAAAGCAGCTTGTCTTCTTTTCCAATATTGTTTAGCAATCAGATTTGTATACCCAGTAAAAGCAAGCCCCACATTCAAGGAATAATCCCTACAGTTTTTAAAGTTTTAACTCCCTATTTGTCACTCTTTTAAAAAAAAATGCAAAAAACAGCTTGTCAAAGGCATTTGACAAAGCTTTATCACAAAGCCATTGTTGAAGTTTATGACCTACATTCATTTCTATCTCTTGAAATCTGGATTTAAAAATGCAAATGTTTTCAGCATGCTGATTTTTAAGGAAGATATAATATGTGATAATCATCCTTTTGAGTATAGAGCCAGGTTTCTCTGGAAGTCACGAAAATGTGATTTCAGGTTGATTTCATAATCACAAGTTTGATGTTTGCAGCAAAATGTACAACATGAAAATTTTCTTTAATAATCTAAGAATATTCATTTTTGATTGGCTTAACATGAATTCATC